GGTCATTCACTGTCCCCAGATCCTTGTCTTGCGCACTGTTTCTCGGTCAATAGAACACATCATTATGGAAAAGGTCACATGTTCTTTGTAAAGAGTTTCCAGGTAAACATGTTTTAAACTTTGTTGTACACACATGATTGAGTTAATTATCATCAGGAAACTTTTTCCCCCAAAACTGTACTGTGCTTAAATATGCCTACAATAAACCATCCAGTGTCAGACTCCAGAAATTTCAACCAACACTGGCTACTGAATTGTGCTGAACCTATTTCCTTCTGCCTCGTGTGGATCACTACTCTGCTGGCCCTGGTGTTTGCAGAGACCCCTCAACTAAACACCTAATCTTCTCAACCAATAAGGCCACAATACCAATCTTAGATCATAGTAAACTTATAAAAAATGATCTCTGAGGGCTGACAAATTACTTATGGTTCAGTGGATAAAGTTGCCTGCTGCCAAATCTGACAACCAGTTTGATCCCCAGGACCCAAATAAATGAAGGTAAGAATCAACTCCTGTAATAAATGTAATAAAAATGTTTAATAAAATAAAAATGACATTTTTTTAGTGTATGAAGACTATTAGAGGTCAATAAACTAGCAACAGCAGGGCAATGCTACTAGAACATGCCACGACCATCCCTTTTCTTGATGATTAAAACTATTTTTTCCTGCAGAGGCAAAAATCATTGGCTGCCATCAGAGACCACTTGGCCTAAACACTGTAAGAAATCATCTAGTCGTCTGTGTTTAGGAAAACCTTTGAAATCAGACCAGCTGATAAGGAAGTTCAGTAAACAGCATCACTAAGGAGTAAGTGATCCTTCATTGCAGCTTCCCATGTCCAAGTACAATAAACTCTGAGGAGCTGCTCTGGGCCATTTACCCATTCATGCGGCACTGAAACCGTGCTACAGACATATATTAAGGACTCCTTATGCAAAGAACAAAAGACTTAAGACACAAGACACAAGTCTGTACACCACACAAGTAAGACACACACACATAAATACACACACATACACTAAAAGTAGGGGGCTTTTTACTTTTACTAAAAGTAAAAATACACACTTGTATTTCTATACTGTACATTATGTATCCTAACACTAGTTACTAAATCTCTCACCCTCTCATCCTGACCTCCAGCAGATATTTTTAAGAAAACCTTCAAAGTGTAGCTTAAAACACATACAAGTCGGCAATACTGTTGAAGGAAGGTGCTGATACGAAGGCTCCTGACTCCACAAATGAAGAAACAGCACTGGATTTTAAATACTTGTTCTCTCCATGCTCAATTCTAAAAATGATGAAATCCCAAACCAAAACCATGTTCTTTCTTTCCTTTTCTTTTCCTTTTCCTTCCTTCCTTCCTTCCTTCCTTCTCTCTTTCATTTCTTTCTTTCTTTCTTTTTTGAAACAGGGTTTCTCCTGTAGCCTTGGCTGTCCTAGACTCACTTTGTAGACCAGGTTGGCCTTGAACTCACAGAGACCTGCCTGCCTCTGCCTCCCTGAGGGCTGGGATTACAGGTGTGCGCCACTGCACCCATCTGACCCATTTTCTTTAATCTCTATTTTATTACATGCATCCGTAACACTATACATAAATATGAAACTGCTTAGGAGAGGAACTTTTTACATTTTGCAGATGTTTATTTTTTAATTGAAAGAAAGGAGGAATAATATCCTCAAACATTTTTAAAAAACCTAAAAATTCATCAAAACACAAGTATGGCAGGAAGGAAAATATCATATCTCTAACTAGTTAAAGGACTGAAAAGTAGCCCAATGCACAACCAATCAACTTTGATTACTTAACCTTACATCAGTTTCTATTTTAGGCAAAATGAAACAGTTTCCTAGTACTAGACAGTCTTTGTATACAAGACCCATTTGTAATATGAGATACTCAACAATAAGTAACATTTCATATTTGTTCTGATTTGTTTGTTAACTTGACACAAGAGAGGGTCTTCTGAAAAAGAGAACCTTGAAAAAACTGTCTCTGTCAGATTGGCCTGTAGGCAAGTCTGTGGGGGCATTTTCTTGATGTATGGTTGATGTGGAAGGACCCAGCCTAATACTGTGGGCAATGCCATCCCCAGGCTGGTGGTCCTGGTCTGTAATAAGGAAGCAGGCTGAGCAAGCCATAGGGAGCAAGTTAATCAGCAGCCCTCCTCTGCAACCTCTCCTTCAGTTACTGATTCCAAGTTCCTGCCTTGAGTTCAGGTCCTAACTACCTTCACTGATGAAATTTAAGCTGTAAGCAAATCAATTCTTTCCTTCCAAGGTTGGTTTTGGTCCTGGTATTAACCATAGCAATAGAAATCTGACTATACTACTCCTGCCTAAGAAGTAAAATATAACTGCCCCAAATGGACTAACATAAAAAATGTTTCAAAAATAAGCTGTAACACTTCAGCAACCAGCATAAATGCCTGGTTAATGATTTTAAAACCTTCAACGCCACACGGATTACTCTTCACTGAATGGTATAGATCATTTCAAGAATTAGTTTAAAAACAAAAAATAAAATAAAAAATCAAAAACAAGCAGAAAAAAAGAACATTTTCACAATTATGTGAAAACATTTATTTCTTATCTTTTTATTTTTGAGAAAGAGAGAGAGAGAGGGCTGAGCTGGCCCAGTGGATGCCTGTCATGCAAATGAGGACCTGGGTCTGCACCCTCAGAGTCATGCATGAAGCCTGGCATGGTAACATGCACTTTGCTGGGTTGATGAGCTTCAGCTTCGATGAGAGACCCTGTCTGTTTTTAAAAAACACACATGAAGCGTGATTGAGAAAAGAGACCCACATTAATCTCTGGCCTCCACGAATACACACATGCACACGTGTATGCACACCTTCATGTCCAAACCCACATGAACAAGCACACACACACACACATATACACAGAAACCATTAAATACCTAAATATAAATAAGATAACTAAATACCTTAAAACTGATTTGCTATACTATTTAAAAAAAAATCATTGCAATCACAGCATATTTTACAGCCATGCAGACCACTTCTCGGAAATAAACCTGGATAGAGGCCTTAGCGACTCAAGTCTTCCTTAAGCCTGTTGATTAAGGACAGAATTGAACCTTTATGTATCAACAGAGCTAATATATGAACAACTAGTATGTAACAGATCTTACTGAAGACTTTACACCTTCATTAATATTATTTTTATACTTTTTCTAAGTTAAAATGTACTAAAAAACTTCTTATGGGCAGATTAAGTTTCAATATTAAAACATTTTATAGGAAATCAAGTAATTCAAAACTTCTCAGTAACTAGATAAAAAATAATCTTGCCCATATTTCAAGACTCAGAAACCACATTAGTCATTAGACAGATGAAAAACGATGAAGACACAAACAGATGTTCAAGTTTAATAGCAATTTATTATTAAATAACTTAAGCTAAACACTTTGATTTTTATTAAGTGTGTTTCTTTTTTGGAATAAATGCAGTAGGCAACTGAAATGACTGAGAGTACAAATCAAGTTTTAATTCATAAAGTTTTAGTTCAAGAAGAAAAGTTATTCAGGGGCTGGAGAGATGGTGAGTGACTTGGTGTACTTGGTCTTGCAGAAGACTGTGGTTGGGGTTCCAGCAAACACATGGCAGCTCTCACACTATCTGTAACTCCAGTGCCAGGGATCTGGTGCCCTCTCCTGAAATCTGAACGTGTTTGTGGTTGCACACAGTGACATGTAGGCAAAACACTAATACATATAAAATAAACCTATAAAAGACACAAGTTGTTCAGCAAACTGATAATTTACCTGGCCAACTAAAAGCCACTGTGTTTATTACAGAAAAAAAGTAACCTGGGCATCACAACTCTTTCAGTCCTTCCTGAAGTGCTTAAAAATCCAGTTACAATCACTGCAGGAGCTGAGGATTCTGCTGTGGAGCCCTTGTTTTGTTTTCTTCAACCAGTTCAAGCATTATTCACACTAGGATATAAACCCACGACAGAGGAGACAAAAATCAAAGGGCAAGTGGAGGAGGAAAAAGAGCAAAAGGGCAGGAAAGGAAAATACACCCCCTGAAAGACATTCAGAGTGTTCCTGGATTCTGAACTCCCCTCTAGGTCTATGCTCTTGAGATGAAATCTCTGCTGTTACAGCCAGGGCTAGGGATGAGTGAGAGACCCCTGCCAGTAAGCCACATTTGAAGTCTGGGTTGCTTTTTACATTGAAACCTTGATGTATACTGATTGAGTTCTAAGCCTTTGCTTCTTATCCCTTGTAAGGCTTTCTCTGTTGGAAACTATGACATGCTAAACAGAAAAATGACATGCCAAAGCACTACATATGGTTACATAGGCTATTTCACTTCATGGGACTTTATTTCAAATTCAAATGTAAGAATCTTTGTTTCATAAAACTGTCAGGACAGAATTTCAGCATGATTACACCCCACATCTTCACTTTCACTCCTGTCCAAGGATCAACACCTATGCAATGTCTTGGAAAAGGGAAGCCAGAGTCAAAGTAAACAGTTGTATAGAACAGATTTCTCAAACAGGATCCCACAGTGACACATACAGATATATTTATATAGGAACTTCTACTATATTTATTACAGAGAAACTGAATACTGTAAGGAAGGACCTTTGTGTGCTGGTACGTACCTTTGAATGTTGGTATGCACAGTATGAACAGAGAACCGAATGTTAAAACTACTACCCAACAGTTTTAAAACCAGTTACAAAAAAAGAATTTGGAGCACAAACATCCAGTTTTCTATCCAGAAGGCACCATATGATATTTAAGAAGTGAAAGACCAGAAATCATGTACTTATCTGTAATTTAATAAAATGAAATTACACGGTAACTTTCCTATTTTTTCTCATGGCACAACACAGAGATTTCTACAGTATTCACTTAGTCAAAATCAATAAGCTAATACTGTTCAAGTACAGGAATACTGCACATATTCATTAATTGCTCTTACACCAAAACTACAGGTATCAATACTTACTTATCAAAGCTATCACTATTTTTGATGAAGCTCTCCAGTTTCTCCTTGGCATATTCCACCACATCTGAATGAAGTTCAATCCCATGATTTATTCCAAAAGGACCTGCAAATTGTAGGAGCATTTTTATAAAAATATTAATGATGTACCCCTAGAGTTCTAATTTCTGTGTACTTATACACCAATAGCATTTAAAGAGAGTAAGAAATATGCAAACACCTACTAGCTGGATTTTAGAGTTGAATGGAAACCTGTTTACATTACTTCAATGCAGTGACGGGGAGGGGTATTCACTTGCTTTTTGTGAAGAAGAAAAGGGAGTGAGCACAGTAAGCAACAGATAATAAGGCTAAAACCTATAGGTCTCCAAAAGACAGTTTGTTGGCAGGATACTATGATCAAAATACTCACAGATCCCCAGGTTTAAGGGGTGGTGGTGACGCTTTGCAGGCTGAAACTAGAACCAGACCTTGCCCTAGTCAGCACTCTGTACCTCTAGCCCACTATTTTGCTAACTTGCTTAGTCAGACAAGCCTTCAAGTCACTATGCAATCCAGGTTAGGCCCTAACTTGTGAATCTCATGCCTCAGCTTTCTGAGTAGCAAGAGGAAATAAATATGCATCACCACACCCAGCGAGCTTGAATCTTTATCATAATCTTCACTTATCATTTAGTCATAATCTGGTGGTTCTCACATATGCAGTTAAGCAAACCTCAAGCTCTTTACACCATCCTTTTTACACATGACAATGGCTAAAGAGACCTCCTAAGAAAAGGGCTGGGGAGAAGAGTTTACTCAGTGTTCCCTATAACTGGCAGATAGTACTTGTTCACTGAGATCGAGGACACAGTGTATTTCCAGGTTACAACGCCACATCCTGTCCACAATCCCCGCAAAGGTCATACACAATTGCAGTAGACATACAAGTTTCTCTTCATTGTCTGAAATGGAATCAAACAGGTTTTGTGCTCTACATTCTTTTACTGTAATCTGAGAGATTTCTTAAGAAGGTTGTGTTGGCTTCTTATTTTTGTTTTGAAAAGTCTCTCTGTAGCCCCAACTAGCTCTGAACTTATATTTTCCTGCCTTGCTTCTGGAGTGCTGGGATTGCTACCATGTCCAGCTGAGTAATTTTTCTTAAGGAATCTGTAACTGGAGGTGTCCTCTACTGCCGGTGACACTGCAATGCATATCATCAGACTTGTCTAAAGACTTGTCTAAAATTAACCACTAAGTTCTTTAAAGTAACAAGAAAAAGTCAAAAACAAATGATCAAATTTAGATGTTCTCTGAGTATAAAAAAAAAAAAAATGAAAGAAAATGCTCACAGTCTTCAAACCAAATATCAAACGTATATGCTTTCTTGTGCTAGCTTTCCATCATTCTTTTTAGTTTGTTAAGAAAAAAAAAAAAGAAAACAAACAAATTTTTACGTAGAAAATTTATTTAGACAAGAAATTTTAATCATGAGACAATTTGACTCAGCAAATACAACAATTTCCTTTGCTTCCAGGTTGGTGAGGTTTTTTTTTTTTGTTTTTTTGTTTTTTTTTTTTGTTTGGGGGCAGGGGATGCTGGGACAAGGTCACATGTAGAGCTGAAGCTGGCACTGAACTTTATGCAATAAAGAATGATTTCAAGAGTTGGTCCTGTCACCACTTATCAAATAATGGGATTATAGGCAGTAGTCACCATGCCAACCAACCTGAAATATTATGGTTTTAAAAGTGAACAGACTGAGGCAACCATAAGCATTTCTTTACTGTTTCCTTACTTATAAACTGGTAAGCTTTCATCTGAAAACTGAAACATCAGGTCAACATGATTTAATACCTCCTGATCCTGTAAACATGTAAAGGATTCATAAAACAAATAAAACCAACCGCCTCCCACACTGTACGCAGAATCCTATACACAGTGATGTCACTCTTTAACACATTCCCGCTTTCGAAAGGTAGCTTTCACATCTGTGGATGATACCCCCAGGATAATAGTTAACGTTGCCTTTGCTATTTCTGATTAAACCAATAAAGTCTGAACCCTAAGGAAAAAAAAAAAAAAAAAAAAAAAAAAACACATTCCCAATATGAGCAACTTGAGAATTTTAGTTTCCAAAGGATTAATTCAAGTGGAAAAAAGTTCAGTCTAAAAGCCCTTAGAGGAGAGTCAAGTAGATAAAGGAGGCTATATGTTCAAAGTATATTATAAATAACAAAATGGCCTTGTACAACCTCATACAATAAAATGATAATAAACATATTTGCTTTAAAGCTTGTTCACATAAGAGCTGCCTGGTAGACAGTCACCTATAATTGAAGCTGATGAGCAGGACAAGGTTGGCTGGTGTTTTCCTCCACCCGTCAGAAAATAGCACTTTTAAACCTGCAGCTTTCAGTGGCTGAAATTGTTTGGAAGTAGTCTCATCCTTATTATCCTGATCTGTCTGTAGACATGGGAGAGCACATACATCAGCTACTCGTGTCTTTCAAACCATTTCATTTTTTTAAATTGAAATAATAATTATTAAAAATTTGAATGAAAAAGTTAATATCAACCTACAAGCACTTAATAATATACAGTAAGAAAAGCACTGTTCCACCAAGTTAATCTCATATTGCTTCTATCTTCTATGATCCATTATGGCAAAAAATCTAAGAGAAACTTGTACTTACTTCCATTATCCATCAAGATTTTGGTAATACTTTTCAAACATTTTATGCAAAAAATAAGACATAAACAAAAATACTGCCGGCTTTCTATATTTTCTCTAAGACCAAATGCAAAAGCTAAGAATCTCAAAATGAAGGTTTCCAATCCTATTTCAAGCTGCCTTATTTACACAAGAGTGTAGACTTGAGACTAGGTCAAAGGGCAGAGAAAGGCCACTCCTTACTTGAGGATGCTTCCATTACTATCTGAAAACAAATGATACCAATTTTCAGAAATAAGGTTGAAATTTAAGGAAATTTTTTTTATTTCTAGAGGTTATAATATAATTACATTACTTCCCCACTTTCTTTCCATCCTTCCAACGCTCTCAAATTCACAGCCTTCTCCCTTTGTTCTCACATATATATTATATATGCATGTCTATTACATATATATTCCTAAATACATAAATGCAACCTCTGCAATTTATATACATACTTGTATGTGTGTTTTCAGTGTTGACCATTTGGCATCGAATAACCAACTGCTGTACTCCTTCCTGGAAAAGACTACTTCTCCTACTCGCAGCTTTCTTAAGGAAAAATCTTAATTTATTTATTTTTATTTTATGTGCATCGTTTTGCCTGCATGTATGTCCGCATGAGGGTGCCAGATCCCTGGGAGCTAGAGTTACAGATAGTAGTGATCTGATAACAAAGGTGCTAGGAATTGAACCCACGTCCTCTGGAAGAACAGCCACTGCTCCTAAGTACTGTGCCATTTCTCCAGCTACATCTTAAGGAAATTTCTTCATGTTTTCTCACCTAACACAAAGCAGTAACTTCAGGAGCGTGGGATGGTACAGCTCTAACCCCAGCACTCAGCAGACTCGGGCAACAGGATTAAGATGGAAGCCTCAACTTACATAACTGAAAAAAAAAAAAAATGTTTTTTCCCCAGTAATATATTAAGGACTATTTTCACACACAACATAAACACACAGAGAGAGCACGTTATTAGTAGCTAATACCAACATTTGTTTTAAAATAAAATTGTTTCATTTTAAAGCAACATGGAAGCATATCTTTATCACTTAATAATTAAAGTCATTAACAGTGAAGTAAATTTAAAAGATAAAATATATTAATAAAAGGCAAAATTCATGGACAGGAAAGGTGCTCAGCAGGTAGGAGCATGTGCTGTTCTTAGAGAGGACCCGGGTTCAGTTCCTAACACCCATGCTGAGCAGATCTCAAATGCCGGCCTGTAACTCAAGCTCCAAGGGTATCTGGTAGCTCTGGCCTCCACAGGCACCTGGACTCTTATACACATACTCAAAGGCAGACACAGACATACAGATACACAGACAACACACACTTAAAAACAATGATAAAAAAATAAAAAGCAGAGCTCAAATAGCAATGTTATTACAGTCACAGAATGTGCTGTCAACTACAACACATCAAGCTGTCATATATGTTGGACAATGATGAGAGTTACAACTCAAAAAGAGAACCACAGGGAAGTAAGACACAGGAAACTGCAGGCACAGCCAGCTACTTCTGAAAATGGAGACTGAAAGGTCTAGGGTAGGAAGGCCATCTCATCATTATACATTGTTCAAGCATGTTTTGCCCACAAGCATGTATAACCTATCAATCAAAACCTAACAGGCTAGGGCTGAGGAGATGGTTAATGATAGTGAAGTGTTTGCCATGCATGGGTGGAAAACCATTCTGAATCCCCAGAACCCATGTAAATCCAGGCTCCTTAGCTTGTCTGCAATCCCTGTGTTCCTACTGCAGACAGAAGGCACAGCAAGAACCCCAGAAGCTCACAGTCCAACCAGCCTGGCTGTGCACCAATGAACCACAGAGATCCTGTCTCAAACAAAGTGGAACAGTGATGACCAGCACCTGGGGATGGCCTCTGACCTCTACAAGCATGCCACGACATGCACTCACCTCACCCTTTCCCCACAGAAAATGTTAAAGCTACACATGGTCCAAGGTTATCTTCGGCTACACAGCCAAGTCAAGACCTACAGCCCGGGTTACATGGAAAGGAGGGAGAGCATAAAAGAAATAAAAAAAAAAAAAAAAAAAAAAAAAAAAAAAACTTATGAACGTTTAGATTTTTTTAAAATCATTATCATATATATCAAATACTACAGTACAAGAAACAGTATTGCAGATGAAATGTGAATGTGACTTTGTATTCAATACAACCAATGTTATTTATTCACATAAGCCAAGAAAGATTTTTACGAAATAATAAAGGTTTCACTTCTATAATATACAGGTTTTAAAAGAAAACAGAAGAGTCAGTTTACAAAAATAAATAAGTTACTAGGAAATATCTAGATTATATATTAGAAATTATTTTAAGACTGACTAAAGTTCATTTATCATAAACAACAAATGTAACAAATTTCTAATATAAGGACCAATTATA